CCCCCCCCCACCCCCGCTTTTTTGTGTCTATGACTTAGCCTGGATTGTGTCATAGGAGGCATGCCTCTTTTTCTACAAAAAACAAATTTAACCTGTGAATTCATTGCCACAATATATCATTGAGACTTAGGCCTTATCAGGATTAAATACAGAACAAAAACATATAACACCAACAGTTACATTAAGCAGAATAAAAGCAATAACCCTCACCCCTCCTACTCCAGTTGCATAAGTCAAACTTGAATGGATTGAAGTTCAGAAGAAACTTGGACAGATAATTCCATACTTTTATCTGCAGAACAGTGGACTAGATCAGGGGTTGGCAACCTTCAGGATGTGGCACATCAGTGTAATCCAGTGGAGGTTTGCAAGACATTTGTCTACATAGACAGTCCACGGGTATGGCCCCATGCAGCTCCCAGTGGCTGTGGTTCAACATTCCTGGCCAATAGGAGCTGCAAGAAATGATGTGGGCCTCAAGAAAGTGCTGGTTGATGCTTCCCACAGCTCATATTGGGTGGGTACAGTGAAGCGTTGCCATTGGGAGCTGTGAAGCGGTGCCGGAGGATGGCCAACATAAACAAAATGTCTTGTGACCTCTCAGCAGATTACGCTGATGGGCTGCATACCAAAAGTTGCTGACCCCTGGACAAGATGGACCATTCATCTGATCTGGTATGGTCGTGCTTGTGTCCTCTAAAAATGAGGCCTTGTGTAAAGAAATACATATAAAATGCCAGCAAAATTGCTGCCCAAGTCATATCCATCATTATATACACATAGTGCTAACACATGTCTTTTCATTGACCTCTGTGATTTTTGCAGTCAACCTCATCTGTAGATACTCTTTCTTAAAACAATCTTTTGGAAAGTCCTTGGTATAGTCAAATACATTTCAGCATCAGTCTGCACAGAAAGGTGAAAAGGTGGCTCTAAATCACCTCTGATCATAAAGCACACTAGTTCAAAACTGAGGACAACTGAATAAATTAGAGCAGTCTGAAAACCACCCTAGTTTTCATTGCTTACCAAGGTCCTTAAAATGCTAGCAGGTATAAGCTACTTCCCATGCTCCCAATACCAGTGTTTAGGGATGAGAGTGATGTGATAGGAACTCTTCAACTCCTGAGGATTCCTTTGCATTACAAGAATCCTCCCTGGCTACCCCAATTGCGTTTTGGATTGTATTACAAAACAGGAATTGGGGCTAGCTCTTGCAACGTCTAGGAAATCCTACCTAATATTTCAAAGGTGCATTCCATACCTGTTTAATGTACACCTTACTGATTCAACCTTTCCATTGAAACAGTGCTTACTCACAAATATGGCTTCCATTTCCCCGCCAAATTTAAGTTTATCCCTAAATGACGTGTGTGTGGAGGTCCATATCTGTAATTCCAAGTCTACCTCTCCCAATTTGTAATGCAACTTTATATTTGTGATATACCCACATTTAAGAATTCCCTTTCAGCTAATCTGAAATACTCTCTTTCGGATATTATTTCTGATATATGGAGGGAGGATGTTCTTTTGCTCAAACATTATCAGGTTAGATATTCACCATGGAATACAGTGCTATTTTTCTCCTGGAATTTTAGTTGCAAATGCTTCTCTCTTCCCTTCCTAGGTATCGGTATCCAATTTTGCTTTGCACTTGTTCTTTCCACCTGTTGATTAGTTTAAACTATTAGAGCTATGTTTGCCCTTTAAGTCAACTTATTTATTCCCTTTCGGTTCAGACATAGCTAATGCTGCTTATACAAGTCTTCATCCATGGTACTGTTTTCTTTATTTTCTTATGGAACCTCAAATTAATACTCAAGAGGATGATGACTAGACCATATTACATAGAAAGTGTGAGAGTAAACATGTTTGTTCAGTTTCAGTGAACAAGCAAAGAATGCTGTGTGCATAAAAGGTATATAGTAATAGAAAGCAAAAAGGTTTGTTCACAATAAATAAGTTAAAAGCATAATTATTATATAGGATAAATTGTTCTGTGGAATGCGAGAGTGTGTTAATATTTACTTCATTAATGGTCTTGTGAAATCTCAGTTGTTTGAAGCATTAGTTAGATTGGCCCCTGCATGGGCTGACAGAAAACCATACCAGCAGTTTTTTGAAAATTATTTTGAAAACCATACCAGCAGAAGAGAATTCTGTATTTCTCTAGATTGTTTTTGTTAGACTGTGAAGTGACCTTTTCCCCAACTCTACACATTTTATATTTTATTGTCCTTCCCATGTGTTCTGGAAAGTTCCCCATTTGCAAATTAGGAAAAGGAGCATATGTAACAGCATTCAAATCAGACATGCCTCCCTTATGCTTTGAATTTCTTTGTGGAAGAGGCACATAAAATACCCACATAAACAAATCAAATTTCTTTGTAAAATTAAGTTCTGTAAGGTTTGAAGCCCACAATATTATACAAGTGTAATGTTACTGCAAGATAAAGGTTGCAGCACAGCACTGAGGACACTAATTTACATGTACAAAAATATTACATTTTGTTCATTTGAAAAAGGATATTCTGAAAAGTTCTCTTATGAAGTGGCTTGAGACTGCTGTCACGCAAACAAGGCTCAGACCCACCTCTAGTTGCAATGTGCACTTGTCTGTGACCAATATTCTAAACTTGCTTTCAAAACAAGGACACTTTTCTCTTTTGCTGAACATTCAAAGTAATGAAATAAAAGTGACTACTAGTGATTTTCAGTGCCCCATCTGAGATATGTTAAAGGAACTTAATTTCCACTGCATGGATACTTAGCCAATGCTTGTATCAGACGGGACACCCAAAATTGTCAGTGTCCAAAACTGTCAGCAATTTGCAAATGTAGGGTATTATTTCAATTTCCAATGCAAAACATTTTCTCAGTCACTTATTTCATAGAGGGAATCTGCTTCCCAGTTCCCCTACCCACAAGCACCCTCAACTGAAATGCTCCATGTGACGTCATGATCAGTGAACAAAAGTCTCACTTATAAAAGGATTTTCTTTATTTCCATAATTTAGCTGAACCAACACAAAACTGAATACTGTAAAGCAACAAAAATGTAACATCTTTAGTTTTTTTCTGTGTTTACTAAATAAGGCTACTATACTCCCCTTTAAAAATCAACTGAAACAAAACAGAAAGTTGGTGGAGTGAGGGATCTGGCTCTTGAGTTCTAGTAGTACAGTAAATGTAATTACCATCATTTATTGCATGAGATTTTAAAGCAGACATTGGTCATTTATAGTGCAGTCAGTCTATAATGGTTTTCAAGTGGCTGGCCTTGAATTGCTACTTTGACACTGGTCAAAAACTTTAAGATTAAATAAGAAATTCGTATATATTTACTTTACTCAAAAGACACAGTCACCTAAAATTCATGGTTTTTGCAACCTGTGTATTAAGTAAGCCTGAATAGTGGAACAGGCCTTACCAAAAAAACAAAACAAAAAAAACCCAAACCAAAAAACACCTTTTTGTATTTGTACTTTTCAACTATGGTTGCTTGAACAATCTCTCTATATATTTTCTTTAGTAGCATAGAACTAGCATAGTATTAAAAGTTAATTGGAGTATTAGGTAGTATACTACAGTGGAAACTTGGCGAAATAGTTAAAACTGGAATACATTTGCCAGGAAGAAGTTAATCTCATTTGTGGATTTCATCATCTGAATATGTACCAGACATACATAGAAAGGTACAGTAATAAGGAGTGAGGGATTATCTTTTTATATTCATTTACCCTTTTTTCTATGCTGTCTTTGCATCAACTTTTCACTACCTGATAATGCCAAAAAAGTGGGCTTCCTAACAATGAGGTAAAACATTGAATCTGGGTCAAGGAACAGGCTGCAATTTGACCTTTATACTGTATTATGTTGAGGTGGGTGGGGAGAAGGAGAAAGAGAGAGAAAAATAACTCGGTATGGAAAGCCATGATTAAAATATTTTACACTCTATTTTTACCAGTACATAAAGACAAAAAATGCCTTCCAACAGTGCAATGGTTGAATGCATTTATGTAATATAAACAACATTATTCTTTGCTTTTTCTACAGAGTCCTTTCTGGTCATGCTTTACATCCAGAATGTCCCAATGGAAGAAAGCAAACGACACCTGCCACTTCAGAGACAACTGAAGTAATAAAACACAACTTAACTCTGAACCATTTGTCATGACTGTCAGAGTCACCACGTTAATTGTTAAATAGGATTTTCTACAAATATACAACATATAAAAACTGTTAAATATATAACTTTAGGCTTTTCAAAATACATTTAATGATCTCTTTCAAACAAGTGTTACTTTTTTTCTTTAATTTGCTTTCTGGTGCTAAATGGTGTATCAGATGAGACATAGGCCACAGATGACCAAACATGCTCTTTGCAAATACTGTATTATCCAATTTTAACTATCAAAAATGGAACTGTAGAAGAGGCATGTTTAACTGGTTAAAACTGAAAATGATTTTAGTACGAGAAAGTCAATCTAAGTACAGAGGAATAAAGATGCCATGTAGACAGTTTGCAGTTGTTTCATCATAGTTTTTCAAACATATGTTGTTTTCTCTCCATGCTCCTTTTCATTGTTTATAATGTGTTTTTTTCAAGAGTAATTTTCTGGTTTAGTTTTTACTGCAGTGTTCCATGAAGACTTCTGCTGGACAGGAACATCTCAGCTTTGTGAGAGCTGAATTCTTCTCTTTGTGAAGATCACCCTACAATTTAACCCAGATAGCTCTGTTAACAGTAAGATTGTGTCCACTTTAAAATAGATTTTGCTCTTTGGTCTATTGTATATACTGAAAGTATAAGAAAATAAAAGCAATTCATACAGTCCAGGGCACAAGAAGAGATTCTCTTTTGCACCTCAGTGTCCTCCCATAGACAAAACAGTCTTCTCTAAGGCTGATTGGGATGAATACTCTTCAGTGTAGTAGACTCTTCAGAATAAAACATGTGGGTTACATCAAGTCCAGCAGTGTGTATAACGCAGATGAAACGTTAACCATGAACTTTTTGTATTGCTAATGCCCAAGCGTATCTCTTATATCTATATTCCTTAGTCCGGTGCTCCTTATTATGGTAGAACAGACTTTTAGCTCATAATGTGGAGGAATTATGCTGTCTTTTATGAGATATAGAGAAACAGACAGTTGAGTTGATGACATATAATGGATGATGATCCACAGCAGTGAAACTTGACTAAAGTAAGTAGCTCACACAGAACCTAGACCACTCATACGAGGATTCTTTGATGCTGCATTTGTCAGGAGACCTGTAAATCAATAAGAACAAATACGTCAACATCTTACTCTATGCTTTTTTGGTTATCTTTGCTGGCCATTATTTTAAAATATGCTGCACTGAGATTCCAAGGAACAAGTTAATTCATTGGAAAATATATTTACCACCACAAACATTTTTTCTAGAGAAAAGAAACCTGATATAATCTATATAATTTATTTGTTGAAAGAAATTTTAACCATGGTGACTAATTAATGATTAAAATTCTATGACAATTTTATGAATTAATAGTTTACAACAGCTTAACTGCTATTCTTCTCTAAGTCCACTGCCCACCCATTTTCTAATAATATTAGAGACTGTTCTTCCTTTTGTATTAAGTTACATATAAAATGATTAAATAAAATTTTTTATCATTAAGTTTATGATTATCCTGTGCAAATAGGATATGATAAAAACTGAACTCTGAAAGTATATATGTTTAATAAAAATGCAAATATGTTTCTATTAGGGACATCTAATCTCTCATAGCATTGTTCAGCACACTAATTTATTCAATACTGCCCTCTAGTGATGCCATTACAAGTACAAATTAATACAAAAGCATATTTAGTATATTAAGTTAGAAACTTGTTTTAACTATAGAGATTTACAGACAAAAACAAATGTAAATTGCAAAAAAAAAATCATTGCCTGGTGAGTCTCAAAAAGAAAAATGGAATAGAAACCCTTAGAAATGAAAGGAAAGAAAAAAATAGTAGCTTGTAACAGAAACGACAGAACAAAAAGTACATAATAAGAACACAAGAGAAAATAAGAACAATAGAAGATAGCATAAATACAAAAGGTAAAAAAATGAAGTATTTATATGACAAGAAGCCTGCTGGAAAAATTCACCAAAATATCAGTCTAAAAATTGTTTCTAAATTACATAGGGCATTGTTCAGAGAAAAATGTTTTGAAGTACATTAAGGAAACATGATTACTTGAAAATGCAGTTTGAATGTTCAAACACTACCTTCTTTTTCCTGATGTTTCTCAACAGTTAAAATTCTCATTGTTGAGAGAAATACAAAGCATAACTCCAGAAAACACTAACAGTGTAAACAGTGTATGTGAAGAGGAAAGTAAATAAGAAAATCCAATTCCCTTGATTCAAGTCACATATGAAATTTAGATTTATTTTTAACCTACCCCTTGGAGAGGTAAATGTAAGAAATACCTGCCTCCAAATCAGTTTACTGACAGCTTGAAACATTTCTCTCTCTCTCTCTCTCTCTCTCTCTCTCTCTGTATATATTTGCCCTATAAGGCATAAAGTGTATTTCACAGATTTCTGCTTTTATCCTCTCACCTTTTCCAGGAAAAAACACCCCAGAAATCTTGAAAACAGCCTTTTCTTTTCGGACTAGTGATCAGATCTCCAAACCACATGGCCTCAGACAGGCTGAAGGCAAAAAACCTGGATGATTATTGAGGTATATTCTCTTTTTTATATACATTCAGCTAGAAGAAATTATGTTAAAGTTCTGCTTCAGTTAAATCGTTTGTTTCCCATTTACATTTTTCCCTTCTGGCCTCCCGCTATTCTTCTTCCCATTGCAAATATTTAGCATCAGTACAAAATTGTACACTTTAGGAATAATTTTTATGCAGGATGGCACATGAAGCTAGAGTTCTCTAACTTGCTATAGTAAAAGTGAGCTACTATTTTGTGAAGAATTAGGGTGACCTAGCTCAGGGTTTTCTGAATTATGTTGGAAAGACCCAAAGTTAAAAGCAACAGCATAAACTGCTGATAGACTGGCATGTTTAGTTTTTCCACAGTGAGCTTCAAGAGTGCAAGTCTTAGAATGGAGATAGATTCAGAACCAAACACACTCATTTTCAGATACCTACTGCTTTGTCATTTCATGGCTTTAGGTCTTTTGCCTTGCTAGTCCAACTTCCATTTTGAACATTCAGATTTTCTGTGTGAATACTGTATCAACGCTTTAATAATAAAATGAGAGGAGTGGGTAGGATTCTACATTGTAAAATGCTAGGGGAAGATAGAGAGAGTAAATGAAAAGGATGGGGAGAGCATATGGAGGAGACAAGAGATGGCAAGCTTGCCTTCTCATCTCCATAATACCCTCCTTCCTCTTCATTTTCCATGGCGTACAAATAATCATTGCACCCCGTTATGAATTAAAAAAGAAAGAACAGGCACTGACTGACCAGGTCAAACCTGCAACCAGACCCCTGGTATTGGAAGATGAATGTAAAGGAAAAAAAGAGACACAAACTGTTCAGGATTCCCATTGTGACCGATCTTCAATTCCTCATACAACTACTGATTAGTTTGATATAAATTGGAATGTAAGTTGTGAACAAAGTAACTGAGGAGTGTGAACACTGAGTACTGGAGAATGCTTTTAGTTTTCTAATCTGAAACCTTGTGGCTGAAATAATAAAATCCTGGGCTCCCAAGTTTCAGCCTTGGGCCTGCTTATATGTTCATAGGCTAGGCATGATGGATGAAATCCTAACCCTGCAGAATTCTGTAGGAGTCTTACCATTGACTTCAATAGAAAATAATTCACCCCAAATTTTCACAAAGTAGATTTTAAGACCTTCCAAAAAAGCCTGTTCTGCTTTGTTTCCTAGACTTCAGCCAGGGCATGCTGGCTTTAAAAATAAAATGAGAGGAGTGGAAAGGATTTTACATTGTAAAATGCTAGGGAAAGGAGGAAACAGATTTCTACTCTTTCCTTTCCCTAGTAGAGTTTTCCTGTGTTGCTTCAGAGATCACATTTTCTGAATGGCATACAGAAATATAAATTGAACCTCTCTAATCTGGTAAATTTTGGTCCAGAACTATCTAGGCTCCAGCATGATTTTAGTTAGCTGGACAGCTGCTTAGTATGGGTGGGGCCCATGTTTCCAACAGTCCCCTTTCAAGAGTTGGCTGGGAAATATGCTGCTAATGCCTATTATAATCCTCTCATCAAAAGCCTAAACACTGATTGCCAATTGGTGCCAAGCCAGAGAATTTTCCAAACCACTGGAGGTCAATACTGGAGGTCAGTGGCCTCTTTTTATTTTTATTTCACCACAGCAAATAAATGGAACAAAGCTTGGAATGCTGCTTAGTAATGTATGACTATACTGATACACCCTATATAAGTCGATGCCTAGTCAAGGCTTGTCAGCTCTCTTTATGACAAAGTGCTCTCTTTATAAAAAAGTTGTTACACAATTTTATTGTATTGGTGCAAGGAAAGTAAGAAAGAAAGCATAAAAACATGGGGTATGTCTACACTACCCTCCTAGTTCGAACTAGGAGGGTAGTGTAGACATACCCCATGTTTTTATGCTTTCTTTCTTACTTTCCTTGCACCAATACAATAAAATTGTGTAACAACTTTTTTATAAAGAGAGCACTTTGTCATAAAGAGAGCTGACAAGCCTTGACTAGGCATCGACTTATATAGGGTGTATCAGTATAGTCATACATTACTAAGCAGCATTCCAAGCTTTGTTCCATTTATTTGCTGTGGTGAAATAAAAATAAAAAGAGGCCACTGACCTCCAGTATTGACCTCCAGTGGTTTGGAAAATTCTCTGGCTTGGCACCAATTGGCAATCAGTGTTTAGGCTTTTGATGAGAGGATTATAATAGGCATTAGCAGCATATTTCCCAGCCAACTCTTGAAAAGCCATCACCCAGCAGCCCACGAGACAGAAGGATCCCACTCCTCTTCAGTATATAGCGCAGTGGTACCCAAACTTTTTCCCTGGTGCCACTCAGACAACTGTGCATGCCCATATTTGAGTTGGGGCTGGGAGTGGGGCCATGGCTCTAGGATGGGGAGACTGATATTGGTAAGGGGGCTGAGGTAGGGGCCCCCACATGGGGCCAGGAGTGGGGGGGAAGGCTGCTGGGACCCCAGGAAAAATCACTGAGCTTAGGGCTGGGGCCAGCAGCCACAGTCAGGAGTCAGCGGGGTGGAGCTCCCTCCCTGCACTGAATGGCTACATCTCCCTGAATATTCATCGGTGCCCACCCGGGGGAGTGGAACACACTCCACAGACTGGAGACCTTTGCTGTGGAGAGTAAAGTGAAGGGGGAAAGGGAAGGTCGTCTCTCTCTTTTATTTTCTCTTCTGACAAGTCTTCCTCCCGTCTGCAGAAAAGTGCCTCCCCTGACATCTCAGTCTCCAGCAGAACTTCAAAGCTCCTTCCGAAGCTGATGAGAGCTACTGTGATCCTTACACTCCTTGTCCTCGTGGTTTGTAAATACTTCTTCCCCAGAGCACGCACTGTCCTTGATTTAATAGCAAAATGCAAACAGGTGAATGGACTTGCCTAGAGTGGTCTCAACTTTCCCCATCAACAGGGAATCCCTATCCTACATTTTATCACTATCCTACATTTTACATCCTTTATCCCTGCACACAACCAGCTAATATCCCACTATACATACTGCGATTACAAAACCAATGCCAGAACACAGTATTCTCAGTGCAACGTAAGCTACAGCAGTTACGTTCCCCATCACTGTCCACTTCCTGGACGATTATTTCTTATGTGTCCTCCATATGAGTTTTTCTTCCACCCTGCTTTATATTTGGGGGTTAGTTGGTTAACCCATACTAGCAGGCCTCCCAAAAGATACCCCTCCACAGATTACTGACGCAGTGTGCTTCTCAACAGTTTTCACTGTTTTACCTAACTATGCAGTTATGTGCCTGTGCATGTGTGTGAATTGCATAACAGATAAAGGACCATTTTCCAAAGGTCCTCCTTCTAGTCCATAACTTTGTTTCTGCAGTCAAGTGAGGCATCATTATCTAACAGTATTTCTATACCTATGCCTGATTCAAAACCCATTGAGACTGAATAGAGTTTTTAGATAGATTTACTGGACTTTGGATCAGACGCTATACTATTATCTGTATGTGCACTACAGAAGGTGCAAAATTAGAGGCTACTTAAAAGAAATGACCCAGCACATCAGTCTGTATATACTTACAGAGAAAGGATCTT